TCAAATTACCAATTTGTCTCTACTTTATTGTATGTAATATTAAATGAAAAAAAGAAGAAAAAAGACTCATTTAACTTGTAATTCAGTTATTTAGCTTGCAAAATTATTTAAACTGAAATTTTTAATGAATTTTTTCCTTAAAATATCCAAAAAAATACTTGGTATGAGAAATAAAAATTTAATTTTTTGATAATGAATATAAAAAACTACTGTAAAACTACAATTTTTTTCTTTCTTTATTTCTCTTTTCTTTCTTTTATTTTTCTTTATTTAATTATATATATATATATATATACAGATCTACATATATATATGTAATTAACAAAAATTATTTTTCGTTATTTAATTATATATACACATATATATGTAATACCCGTAATTAATTTTTAAAAAAATTAACATTAACGTATGAAATATAATTTTTTTTAATTTATGAATTTTATTTAATGTAAAAATCAGAAAAAAAATTAAGTAGATGATGAAATTGAAAATAATTTTGAAAAAAATAGATAAAAATTTGGGTTATGGGGGTGTTTTTAAAAGAAAAATCAGAAATTGGGAGTTAAAACATAATTTAAAAAAAATGTGTCACCTAAGACTGCCTAGTTAGCAGCTTCGACGAACTCGAGCACACTGTATAGCATGGCACGCTGACGCGATGCCAATCGGGAGGTCACGTTGGCAATCCGTATGCCCGTAATTGGACGGTCTGGAATTGTTCCTGCGCGCGTGGACAGTCTGGATCCATTCCCTCCTCAGGTGTGATCGTACCGTCCAGATCAAATCGTGATGAACGGTTCAAATTTATTTTTTATTTAAATGCGATCGGACAGTTGAGATCAAACGTGATGGACGACCCAGATTAAAAAGAGACGAATATAAATACCTCACTTCACACCGAACCCTAACCGTAGCCGTCAGCCTCCCGCCGGAGAAGAAGAATCAGTCGTCGGAAAGGAGAGCCGACCGCCGCTCGCCGCTGTGTCGGAGCCACCTCTGACTGCCAAAAGAGGTAAAAAAAATTTAATTCACTCAAAATTAGATTTTGAACACCCCTATGGTAAAATCAGAGCAAAAAAACTGGCGAATGAGGTAAAAACTGCGGGTAAAGTTCGGCGGCGCCGCCGTAGAAAAAATAAAAAGTCACCTCCGATGAAGGCCTTCCCGATTCCTGTTTCGTGTAATTTTTCTACCATTATATTCACAATTCTATTTTTCACAGGTTGACAGAAGGAAAATGCCCAACCGCGAAGGTGAGCTGGCGAAGCTGCCGTACCGGAAAACCCTGTCGTCGGTAAGCTTTTGTTTTTTTATTTTTTTCGGCTAACCGAAGTCCCTTAACGTGTTTTCTTGTAGGGATGAGTACAAAACAGGCCGAAATCGGCTGAAACTGGCCAAAAACAGCCAGTCCGAGGCAAACCGCCGCCACGGGCAATGGTGCTTCCGTGTCGAAATTTTAAAATTGGCCAAAAAAGGGTTTTAACACCGATTTTGGATTTTTTGGGGTATTTCTAGGTACTTGGAGCGTGTTTTAATCTCCGAAGAAAAATTCAGGTAACTTAGTAACCGCCAGTAAGCGCAGTTGAAAGTTTAACGTTCGAACACCAATTCGGGTAATAATCCCTCACCCTATTCTTTGTTATGGAATTAAAGTTTAATTATAAATAATGTGGTATTTTGTACAATTTAGAAAATCTCAATAATTAATCACAGGTTACTAATAGAGCCGGAATTGGTTATTATTCATTATTTATCCTGTTTGATTGATCTTATAGTTTTCATATGTATAATAATACACTGAAGTTGGTATGATGATTCAGTTGTGCTTGCTTGATGCATATATTGCTTGTTTTACGTGAATTACAGTTAGATTGTGAAATTAGAAATTAAATGTAAATGAAAATTTTTTTGATTAAGTGATTGAATGAATGGTAGCCTTACTAGATATCTTGAGAGATGGTGGACGGACCGAGTGTATAGAAAACTCTGCCATGAACGTTGCCTCATACTAGACGGGGTATCGAGGTTTGATATCTTGGCGCTCATACCAGACGTGATATGAGTATGGTCCGTTTCTCTCTCATACTAGACGGGGTATTGAGAGATGTCATTTTTGCCGCTCATACCAGACAGATTATAGGGACGACCAGTTAGTTGATAATGTTAAATAAGGGTTCACGTGTAGTGGAGACATCTCTATGGACCCCCACAGATATCAATAGGCAGATAAAAAAAAAGTTGTTATTCTTACTTAATTGAATATGAGATTTTGATATTGACGTGTTATTGTCTCTATAGGTCAGTTTTAAAAATTTTGCTACGGTAAGTATACAATAAATGATTTTATTTATGATAAATAAATTTACTTAAATTAAAAGTTCCATTAGTTATTTTCATGATTTTTACCAACCTTCATTTTTGTATTGGTGAGTAGTATGATATTCTTACTAGATTAGTATAGCTCACTCTTTCATTAATCATTTTAAATCAAGAAGACCAAGATACAGATCCTGATCCACAAGAAGGTTGCGAAGATGATGACCGGTTGTTTACTTTCCATTTATTTTTTTGATTTTTTGTTATTTTTTTAGAATGGTCATTCTCGTATCCCTATTAGATATTCTAAATTATTGTGTAAGGAATGTAAATCATAACGTTATTATTTCGCTTCCACATTCAATTTATATTTTATTTCTCTTTCTAGTTCTGGGTTGTTACATATATGTATATATATATACATATATATAATTAATAGAAATTATTTTGATATAATCTATTTAGATTTTTATTTTGGTGAAAACTTATTAGGAGAAATGACAAGAATGTTTAATATGATAATAGTAAAATTATAAGGAGAATTTGTTTGATATGATAACGACAGAAAATTGGTATGTTTCAAAAATTGGTAAGCAATGTATAAAATTGCTTATACTACTGTGATTATAATGACTTCTGCTAGTAATAATTTGTAGTTTTTGATTCTTTATTACATGTTGTAGTGCATTGTAATTATAAGAAGTATATAAAATAATTTATAAGAAAAATTAGGACAAAAAGATATTGTAAAAGAAATTTTTGAAAAAAAAATTACAAAATTAAAGAGAATCCAATAAGAGAAGCTAAGTTTTAAAAGTTATTTTACTTTCAATGTCTTCATAAAATTGTTCTGTAGAATAGTATTTCACATTAGTAAATAGAATGGAAAGTAAAAAGAGAAAAAATGTAGTTTAACAGTGAAGATAGTTTAGTAATTTTATTTTTGAATAGCCTTATTTACCTTATTATTTCACGATTACTTTTAGTTGGTAAGAATTGTAAAGCTAATTTGATGAAGAAAAACAAATTAAGTTTTTGTTGGGAAAAAGATTTAAACTAATTTGACGAAGAAAAATAATTCTGATATATATTTTTTATCATACAGTAATAAATTATTAATTTAGTTTCTAAACTAGGAACCATGTTTCAATTTAATCACATTTTAAAAATATAAGACTTATATTGGGAGGAGAAATTGAAACAAAATTATTTTAAAAAAATTATATGTCTTTTTTCTCTTCCCTACTAGTTATTTTTACAATTTGCATAACTTAAATAAAATAATTGTTTTTGTTAAATTTATTGAGATTATTATTTTTTTATTAGATTCGTCCAAACAAAGCATATATATGTATATGTATATATATATATACAATTAATGTAAATTATTTTTTTATTTAATTATATATATATACATATACATATGTATATGTGTGTATATATATAATTAACATAAAAAGAAAGAGAGGAGAGAGCGAGGAGAGAGAGACGCCATTGTGAGAGGAAGAGAAGGGAGGCAGAGCGGCATCGACGGCCGAGAGCAGAGAGCAGGATTGACGACGACCGCGAGAAGGGGAGAGAAGAGAGGGAAGGAGATGCAACGGAAGAGGAACTGAGAGAGAGAGAGAGAGAGGTCGCAAGGAGGAGATGCGACGGCTTTAAAGAAGCAGAGATGGAAGGAGATGCGACGGGTTTGAGGAAGTGAGAGAGAGAAGAAGAAGCATTTCGGCCCTGGTGGAGAAGACGCAGGTCGGCTTTGAAGATTGAAATGGATTTCGGCTTTGAAGATGGAGAAGCAGGAGAGGTGAAGAAAAAATAAATTGGGATTTTAGTAAGGGTAAACTTAGAATTAATAAAATATTATGAGGGTAAAAATGGAAGAAAAATATTTTACTATAAAAATCTATGGATTCAGTAATTTAAAAAAAAAAATTCGTAAAGTACTATCCTAAAACCATATCATTCGGTTGAAAATAGATTCAAACAAAATAAAATTATAAAATTATCATATCATACATTAATTATTCATTATTTAAATAAATAATTAATGAAACGGTGCATTTTGATGTAAGTTGGGTAGGCCTGCATTATACATGCTCGAAAACATCAATAGCAAACAAATTAAATTATAGAAAAAAATATTGTAAAAAGATATCTTAAAACATTAATTAATTTTTAGAAATAACACAAATCAAAGCAAAAGATATTTAAGAGTAAAAATAAAAAAGATATAAAGCTTAAAAAGATTAAATAAATAAACCTATCTTGTTGTAAAATAATTAACCTTTCTTAAGCAGCCAAAAGAAACCATGGATACCCAACAACCAGGTAGGATCTGAACATATCACACAAATATACTTTTGCACAATTCTCCCGCTCTCCATATATATATATATATACTGAACATATTTTTTTAATTTAATTTATTAAAAAATTAACCTATGAACTTCAGCGTTTGAAAAATCAAATATATTGATTACGTACAGGAATAATTATATTATATATTGAGGTTTCCCAAAAAAGAATTATATATTATAATTAATTTAAAATATATGCATGGGATTGCGTATATCAAGCGAGTTTACAAAAAACACGGTCCATAATTTCACCCGAAATTCCGTATAACCCGAATCCATTTGTTCCAGCCCATATCCGACCCGAAAACCATGGACCCGGCCCATATTTACGGCCCAATGAACCCCCCTCTGTCTCCCTTCAAAAGACCACACACAGAGACCGCTCAAACTCGAAAGGCAGTCAAATGGAGCCATGGGTGGACTTAGCCGACGACCTTCAGAGCGTGAGCTTCACGTCCACTGGTACTACCATCAACCGCAGCACGAGCTCAGGCTCGTCTTCCTCAGCTGCAACGCTTACTCCTGCGCCTTCTACTCACGGCTCATTCTCTTCCTCCAAGCTCCCGCTCTCTCTCCGATCTCTCTCCCTCTCCGACCTCTGCTTCTCGCTCCGAATTGGCTCCGGAGACATCGGCTCCGTCTTCCTCGCCGAGCTCAAGTCTCGTTCCTCACTCGATTCTCCGCTTTTCGCTGCTAAGGTGATGGACAAGAAGGAACTGCTTGGTCGCAGCAAAGAAGGCAGAGCCAGGACAGAGAGGGAAATACTCGAAATGTTAGACCATCCTTTCTTGCCGACTCTCTACGCTTCCATCGACAACTCGAAATATCTCTGTTTGTTAACGGAGTTCTGCCCCGGCGGAGACCTCCACGTCCTCCGTCAAAAACAACCGCTCAAGCGTTTCCACGAATCCGCCGTCAGGTAACCGCCGTTATACTCTCCATTTTTGAAATTTCAACCTCAGGGAAATCGGAGTAGTTTTTTTCCATTATTATTTTCTAAAAAAAAATCCATCTATCATGACTGTGATTTCGAATTGCAACGATGAGAGTGACGGAGCAGGTAGTGGGCCTGGCCGTCTGGTGACTGTCAGGTGGGTGCACAGGATCCATGGCGTGTGTTAGAGCACGCCGGATTATTTCCTTACAGCATTCTAGTGTATAGATCGGTTTAGTTAGCGGGGGATCAAATCAGGTGCGGAAGAGTTTATCGAAAACGTCGAAAGTAACTCGTTTGACTCTTCATATTCTAAACCAATGTGGTCCCGACACGTGTGTGATCGGACTTTTAATTAGTCCGCGTACAGGATGTAAATAAATCTCGTAAAACTTGTAGCATGTGCCAAGTGGATGACGTGGACCACATAGGGGCTCGATCACGTAATTATTACATAAATGACATTTCAACAACATCAATAATACAATAATTATAATAATCATTATTATTTAAGTAATATGGTATTTAGTTGTTATAGGAGATTTTGGAAAGCCAACCAGGAAGAACTCTTTATTGAGCATAAATTACTGTGAGTTGAGCAATGGGCGTCTTGAAAGTTGGGATGCTTTAGTTGTTTATTCTTAGGAAGAAATAAATTGGGTTTGACTTTTGCTTCTAAGTTTTGTTTATACCATTGTGAGAGTGTAATTTTTTGATTAACTAAATTAATTAATGTGAGAAATGTTCTCTTAGAGCATATGAAGACTTGTGTGAGTATGCAAAAAATGTTTTATAATCTAATTCCAATAAATAAAGAATTGAAGTCAACTTACGAAAATGGTTTACTTAGAAATATAGTCATTTGTCTGTTACCAAAATTTTTTGCTTAAAAGTTTAGAGCTACAAGAAAAAAATCTACAAGGTCAGATTTTTTTTTTCTGGTGTTTTAAGTTCATATAATTTTTAATTTAAGTTTTATGTTCTTAGTGTTATGAATTTAGAAGCTGTTTGAATATGTCTCTTTTACTTTTAAACTAAAAAATTGTCAAGAAGTTAGTAAATTAAAAAGAATTTTAGTAAAAATTGACTAAAAGTAACAATTATTTTTTAAAAAAGTTAAGAAGTTATGTAAGTGTATTTTTTGTGCAAAAAGTATCCATAAATAATTTATTTATAACTTAAATTTAAGTTATAAATTTTTAGTTTTCCATTTTGACGAGTATAGAGGTTCAATAGAAGTAGTTAATAGGCTAAAAACTCTCAATTTTAAGATTTAAAAAGAAAAAAAAAAACTCAAAATACTTTCATGCGAGCTAAAATCTTTGCACTCTTTAATTGTGTTTATTTCTTGACAAGTATGTATATATATAGAAAATAAATAAATAACAAGCTAATCCAACACCCTTCCGAAAATATTTGTTTTCGTCACTTTCCCAACTTTTTAAAAGCTTCTCTGGAAAAAGCCCAAGGATTCATATGAAGCCGAATAAAAATAACCAAATACATTGAATACTTTTCTAAAACTCATCAGTTTATAAAGCCTAGAAAAAGGGCGAACTATCTCTTAGAATGTATCATGATTTTCAATTTCATTGCTATTAACTATATTAATGTGAATATATAAAATTACTTTTAACAAAATCTAACATGCAAGCAACTTGGCTTAAAAAGAACTACTTACAAAAATTTTAGTGCAAATTCTGCAGTTAATAAAGAAGTTTGAACAATTCAAATGACACCTTTACTTATGTATTATAACGTTGATTTTTGTTAATTGTTCTTTTGTGTAGACTATTACTCAGCTCAAAATCCACGTACTGCAAAGAAGAAAATTCAATAAATTTAACATGGGTCATTTAGAATATTATTGTCTTAAAGATTATAAATAATATATGTATGCGGTCAAGTCAAATAGAAATTGTATAGGGTAGACTGAGGATATACCTTGTTGACAATAATTGGTCTCTGTAAATGTTAAAGTAGACAGCACTAGTTTCTCTTTTGGCAGTAGCTAGGCCATATGTGTCATTTCAGGTGGTACAAACAGGAAGCTTTTTGTTCCATCTCGGGTCCAAAGAATCCCCCGAAAATCCTAATTCTACTAATCTTTTCCCCGGTATTTCTGGGAATACTTTTGCATTTTTTTTTCTGAACTGAAGGAATCATTGTTCATTTTTTGTTTACAAATTTAAGTTATGCATTTCACTCTTGCACCCCCCAGATGTTATACCAAAATCTCGGAAACTAATGTTCTTGATATGAAAAACCTCTTACTGCCTTCTATTTTCCAGTGGACTCAGTCAACTTCTACCTTTTATTACCTATGCTGACAATTATTATCATTTTGAATGAGATTTTTTCCATCTTCTTGTTAAATTAAATATATATATATTAATTTAACAAATAAAATTAATTTTTTCTAATGATTGCCTACGATTAAGTTTATCAAATTAGTGGAATCAAACCTTCACATGGTGGGTTCTGAAATCTTTGTTGCGGTATTTCTGGTGTGAATAAAAAAAGGTAGGCCCCTTGCTAGATTCATAAGGTTTTATAGAATTTCTTGTCTGTGTTTAGTGATAATCAATCCAAATTTCAATTAAATAGCTAGGAGTAGATAACCAATGGTAGGGTCCTTTATGGCGTAAGGTAACCTCATCAAGATTTTAAAACCCCATGTTGCATCTCAATTATTTTCAGTCAGAATTCTCTGTAGGTCATGAGTTTTTTTTTTTTTTTTGAATTCTAGTTATGCTAGGTATATACTGTAGGATTTACAGGTTATTTGACAATTATTTGATAAAGATTTGGAATACACAACTTATAATTATGGCGTCTGTGAATTTATCTGTATTCTTTGAGCACTTTATAATTACGTCCAAATTCAGTATTTGATGAAACTGTTCTTTCTCCAGATTCTACGCATCTGAAGTGGTGGTAGCCTTAGAATACCTCCACATGTTAGGGATTGTTTACCGTGATTTAAAGCCTGAAAATGTGCTGGTAAGATCAGATGGTCACATTATGCTCACAGATTTTGACCTCTCGTTAAAATGTGATGATTCCACGGCTACACCTCAGATCATATCCGACCAGAAACCTGCACTTGCACCCTTGCAAGGCGACCACCCAATTGACCATCCTCCTTTCACGTCCTCTTCCTGCATTATTCCAAACTGCATTGTCCCTGCAGTGTCTTGCTTCCACCCGAAACGCAAACGCAAGAAGAAGACAGATCCCCGTGCTGGGCCTGAGTTTGTGGCTGAGCCCGTTGATGTCCGGTCTATGTCTTTTGTTGGGACCCATGAGTACTTAGCACCGGAGATCGTATCCGGCGAGGGTCATGGCAGTCCTGTAGACTGGTGGACACTAGGAATATTTATTTACGAGCTGTTTTATGGGGTGACACCCTTCAAAGGTATAGACCATGATCTTACTTTAGCTAACATTGTTGCTAGAGCCCTAGAATTCCCAAAAGATCCGGCCATACCGGCTGCGGCCAAAGACCTGATTTCTCAATTGCTGGTTAAAGATCCGGCAAGACGGCTAGGGTCCACAACTGGGTCCTCTGCCATCAAGCACCATCCTTTCTTCCAAGGGATTAATTGGGCATTATTGAGATGTACAACCCCACCATATGTCCCTCCACCCTTTAGTAAAGAGATTGTATCAGATGAAAGTTGTCCCCAGACTCCTGTGGAATATTATTAATGAAGTGGGAAATGAAGGATTAATAACAAACAAAGTTGTTAGGGCATTCACACGTGATACAACTACATATACATGTACATATACAATTATTTTTTGTTTGTTTTAGCATTTTCTCATGCAAATTCATCATTACCCTGATTTCTATCTTCTGACATGACATTGTCATTCGAGCATGCATGCTTACCAGAAACTCTTCATGTGCATTTGTCGGATATAATATTATAAGGAAATAATAGCGACTCTACCCACTTCATATATTATAACCATTTTAGGAAGAATCCAAATAGCTCCCACAGGAACCCTATAAATCAGTTCTAAATATAATTTACACTAACTTATAAGTAAAATTAAAACATAATAGACAAGTTTTTTGACAATGAAAATTATCATCATTAGTAGGAAGTTACTATTAAAGTACTTTACAATTAGATTAGAAAAATTAAAAATATTTTTGACAAAATTAAAATTAAAATATATTTTTTAACATATATAAATAGGTAGCATATTTTACATATTTCTCGAAAGCTATTGTCCTCATAAATTTATTAAACATATGTTTAACTTAAAATATTAAAATTTTATAATATTTAGGAATTTAAATTTTAAATATAAGTAAAATTTTAATATTTTAAAATTGATGTAAAATCTTTTTGTAATTTTAAAATATACTTTTACATAAAAATAATAACTAAATTAAATAATTTTATATATTTTTTACTTATATCAATAATTATAGTTATTTGTAGTGAGCACAATAGATTATGTTTTTCAATATAGCACCACTTTATAAAATTATTTTCAACAATTTAGTTTTTTTTTTATTAAAAATATTTTTACTAAAAAAATTATTTTAACAGTACTTTTATTATTTACAGCACAAGCAGAAGTTGTACTAAATAGTTATAAAAAAGGGTTTTTTTTTCTTCTTTTATATAAAAAGGTTATAGAATGCTTTGATGGCTTCCATTAAAAAAAAAAAAGGGGTAAGAGAATACATGTAGAATATGAAAAGTGAGGGTTTAAATCAATGTTTTATCAAGAAAAAAAATTTCTTTCATAAGTGACTCTCCTATAATTATCTATACTCTCATTAAAGAATATTCAAATTGTGATCCCTATGTGATAATATTCAATAACGGTAAGTGCAATTAAAATCAAATATTATGATATTTTTTTATAATTAATTTGATGTTTCAAATTGGTCTAAAAGAATCTTGACAATTCCATTAAACACATTCTTATGCAATAGTTGTTAGTTTATCAAATTTTAAATTTGTTTCTCAAAGGTTTTTAATTTTATGGTAGATTAAAATAATAAAATACAAAGAATGATTTCCTAAATCACAAAGTTTGACATGGTATTGTAGTTACAATTAAATAGTTCCTAATTTTATCCTCTCCTTCTACGTTAAAAATGTAGTATCTTTATATTTTTCTACTTATTTCTATTGTTTGACTTATTTATAATGTATGATTATAGGATAATATTTTTCTTATGTTAAAACATACTGAATATTTTGTTATTATTTAAATAACTCTATAGAGCTTCATTTATATCTAATTATTGAAATGATCAAAAACCACATAAATAACTCATAACATTTTAATAGAAAATATAGCATATTTCATATAAGACACGATAATGCAATTAAGTAAAGAAATAATTTATGATTACATTAGAGGCCTGTAAAGACCCGGAACTTAAAAGAAAATAAATTATAAATTGAATACGAAACCAAAATAATAGAGTTAAAGTTTACATTCATCACACAATAATTTAGAATACCCAATAAGATTACGGGACTGACCATTCTAAAAGAATAAACAAAAAATTAAAGAAATAAATAAAAAGTAAACAATTGAGCATTGTAAGACGACATTCACTAACCTCTGAAGGGAGTTAAGGTGGTGAACTATTCACAACTTCTTTGTTAATCAAGATATGGATCTTTTTAATCTTGATCTACACTAACCAAGTAAGAATATCACACTACTCACCGATACAGAAATGAAGGTTGGTAAAAATCATAAAAAACGACTAATTGAGCTCTTAAATTAAGTAAATTTATTTATCATAAATAAAACTATTTATTACATACTTACCGTAACAAGATTTCTAAAATCGTCCTATAGAGGCAACAACACAAACAATATCATAATCTCAAATTCAAGTGAGTAAGAACAACAACTTTCCCTTTTTATTTGCTTACTGGTATCCTTAGGGGTCCATATGGATATCCAACTACGCGTGAACCCATATTAAAACTTGTCAACTAACCGGCTGTTTCCATACCCCATCCGGTATGAGCGCCAAAAGTACCATCCTTCAACACCCCATCCGATATGATGGTGAATCGGGCCGTCCTCATACCCCATCTGATATGAGTGTCAAAAGTGTCATCCCTCAATACCTCCTCATACCCCATCTGATATGAGCGTCAAAAGTACCATCCATCAATATTCCGTCCGGTATGAGGGTGAATCAGGTCATTCTCATACCCTGTCCGTTATGAGCGCCGAAATATCATTCCTCAATACCCCGTCTGGTATGAAGTAACGTTCACGGCAGGNNTATTTACATTTTAATTTTTAGTTTCACAATTTAATCGTAAATCATGCAAGACAAACAATACATACATTAAAAAAATACAACTGAATCATCTTATCAATTTTAGTATATTATCATGCATTTAAAACCATAAAATCAAACAATCAGTTAAAACAGGACAAACAGTAATAAATAACTGAATTCGACTCCATTAGTAACCTGTAATTAATTTTCAAAATTTTTTAAATTACATAAAATACTGTATTATTGATAATTAAAATTCAATTCCATAACATGGAATAAGGTGAGAGATTCTTACCTGAATCGGTATTCGAAATATTGAACTTTCTACTGCGCCTACTGGTGGTCTCTAGTTTTCCTGAATTTTTCTATAGAGATTAAAACACACTTTACGTATATAAAAATACCCAAAAATCCTAAATCGATGTTAAAACCCCTTTTCTGACCAATTTTTGGGTTTCGGCATGGTGGCATCGCCGTGCTCCGGTAACGGCACCATCGCCTACGGCAGTGGTTTACCTCGGCCTGACCTTTTTCGGTCGGTTTTGGCCCATTTCGACAGGTTTTATACCAATCAATGCGAGAAAACTTGTTAGGGGGCATCAGTTGGCCGAAAAAAGTCAAAAAAATAGAAACCTACCGACGGTGGAATTTTTCGTTGCGGCGGCTCCGCCGACTCACCTTCACGGCTAGGTATTTTTTTTTCGGTCAACCTGTAGTGTAGTGACCCCGAACTTAAAAGGAAATAAATTATAAATTGAATACGGAAATAAAATAATAAAGTTAAGGTTTACATTCTTTACACAATAATTTAGAATACCCAATAGGGCTACGAAAATTACTCTTTTAAAAGAACAAACGAAAAATCAAAGAAATAAATAGAAAATAAACAACTGGACATCCTATTCGCAACCCTCTTGTGGATAAGGATCTGGATCTTGGTCATTTTAATCTGAAATAGTTAATGAAATAGTGAGCTACACTAGCACAGTAAGAATGTTACACTACTCACCGATACAGAAATGAATATTGGTAAAAATCATAAAAATAACTAACGGAGCTCTTAATTTAAGTAAATTCGTTTATTATAAATAAAATCATTTATTGCATACTTACTATAGCAAGATTTTCAAAATCGATCTACAAAGGTAATAACACAAACAACATCATAATCTCATATTCAATTAACTAGAACAATAACTTTCCTTTTTTATCTGTCTACTGGTATCCATAAGGGTCTATAGAGACATTTCCACTACGCGTGAACCCTTATTCAGTATTTTCAACTAACTACCTACTAGTATCGTATTATTTATAATGTAACTTCAATTCTATAATAGGGAATAAGGTTACGGATTCTTACCCGAATCGGTGTCGGAAACACTAAACGTTTAGCTGCGCCTACTAGCGGTCCCTGGGTTTCTTGAATTTTTTTTAGAAATTAAAACATACTTCAAGTACCTAGAAATACCGCAAAAAAATCCAAAATTGGAGTTAAAAACCTTTTCTATCAAATTTCAGAATTTTGGCACGGCGGCGCCGCCGTCCGTAGCAGTGGTTTGCCTTGAATTTGCCGTTTTCGACCAATTTTGGCCAATTTCTGTCTGTTTTATACTTATCCCTGCGAGAAAACACGTTAAAGGGACTCGGTTGGCAAAAAAAAGTCAAAAAATAGAAACTTACCGGTGGCAGAGTTTTCTGAGGCGGTGGCTCCGCAGGCTCACCTTCGCAGTTGGGCATTTTTCTTCGGTCAACCTGTGATAAATAGAATGGTGAATACAATTGTGAAAAAATTGCACGAAACGGGAATCGGGGAGGGGATCATCGGAGGCAATTTTTAGTTTTTTCTGCGGCGGCGGCGTCAGGTTTTACTTGCAGTTTCTGGTTCATCTGCTAGTCCTTTTTCTCTTATTTGTCCATGAGGGTGTTCAAAATTGAATTTCGAGCGAATGAGAAAATTTTTACCTATTTTGGCGATTGGAGATGGCTGTGGCGCGACGGCGGGCGGTGGTCGGCTCCCTTCTCTTGCGATTGGTTCTTCTTCTTCGACAGGGGGCTGGTGGCTAAGGTTAGGGTTCAGTGTAAAGTGAGATATTTATACCCCTCTTCTTTTAATCTGGACTGTTAATTGTATTTGATCTCGACCGTCTGATCGCATTTAAAAAGAAAATGAATCTGAACCATTAATTGCAATTTGATCTATACGATACAATCGTGTTTAAAGAGAGAACGAATCTGAATGATTTATCGCGTTTAATCGCGACCATCCGATCGTACCTGAAGAGGGAATGGATCCAGACCGTCCACGCGTGCAGGAATAAATCTAGATCGTTCAATCGCGGGCACGCGGATTGCCAGCGTGGCCTCCCGCGTAGCATCGAGTAAGCGTTCCTTGCCACGTGACGCGCTCCAGTTTGTCGGGACTGCTGACTAGGTGGTCCTACGTGGTACATTCTTTTTAAATTATATTTTGACCC